GAAGAATTTATTGCCAAATATTTATTTATTAAATAATAAACAAGGTTTAAATGCTTATCTCAATGAAACTTGAAGACATCCAAATTCTAAAATCTTATTTTACAATGACTACGGACATGATCTAATAATGAATTTTCTACTAAATAGTTTTTAATCCAAGAGCAATAAATTCATGATGGAACCAATAGATAGCGTTTATTAGTTTAGCAGAAACGCCGCTATCTCATATTAGGCGAAAAAAGGCCGAGATGGCCGCTCTCAGGTTTCTCTCTGATATAAATAAAATATATTTTTAATTCGCAAGTAATACATAAACATATATATTCTTTTGAAAGATATATGTATATTCTTTTGGAGTACGAGTCATACTCTAAAATCAAGAGATTCAAATATATAAATTATAAATTGTATCAAGTGATGGATTGTTGATGACTGTATACCGCGAGCGCCATCCAACATTCTCACTCAGAACCAGCGATATGTACTCACGATAACTCCATTCTAGTGGCGCTTTGCTCGTCCCAACAAGATTATCCGTGCAGTGCCATTCCTTCGGTTCGATACGGGAAATGGGGGGTGATTCCCGAGGTTGTTTGAAGACAATTTGAGTAAACACGTACTCGTGCGCGAACTTGTAACATTGGTTAAATGTGCCCTGACAATAATGTGATAATCACTCTCATGTAATGAAAAAATTATGTGTCGACTGTGTGCGATGGCAAGCAGAGTAATGACCGGCCATCAGCAGCAGTTCGTTGAAGAAATCGATTATAATGAAATCGAAACGGAGCAGGTAGTTCATTCTCTACCTTTGTATTTTCTTAATTTCGCTCCGCAAACGCTCTTCGGATGTTTCTTATAAATTTAACGTCGTCTCGATTGTTAATTCTCACAGCCGAAGCTTGTTTTGCAATGCTGTTGTCCCTGCGAAATATTCGATCTCAGCAGGATAACCTCAAACGAGAGAGAACAGACCATTCGTACACAAGAGAATACAGGATGATTTCGACGAAACTTCGACTTTCTTTTTAAGTAATGTCTGTAATGTCCTGTTAACATAAATAAAATTGTCAATTTTTTATCATTTGATACATGGGAAGAAAAATTAGATTATGAAACAATGAAACACACACACACACAGCTGGAAGTTTAATTCTCTGATAAAAACAACGAGTCTCTCGATTAAATCGATCGTCATTTAATTGGAGTTTGATCAAAATTAGCTCATAGTAGAGCTCCTGAGTTAGCCACTTTCTTTAAAAAAGAGTATGTGATCAGATGACACTCTTTTCTATTCCACAGTTATGTCATACAAACTCAATATCTTAACATGTAAGATTAAAACGTTTAGCTAACGTCTATATTTTCATCAACATCGATTAGCTTTAATCTCGATTTAATTTGCTTTTTAGTATTGGGAAAAAAATAAAAAATAAATCAAGGTTTGAGTAAATCTACTCTCTAAATTCTAAAACTTAAATTCATTCTAAAGAGTGAAATCTCATTCTTAAAAATTAAAAATATATTAAGACTGGCTTGATTTTCACTTTTTAAAGTGAGACTCCACTCCAAAAAATTTAGAGAGTACATTGGTAGAAATTAAGAGTATCGTTGTTTTATGCTTGATCCTTATTTGATCATAGGTAGTTGGTAAGGGATCCTTTGGAGTTGTCTGGAAAGGAAAATGGAGAGGACAGGATGTCGCTGTGAAACATATAAATTCAGAAGGAGAAAGAAAAGCCTTCACTGTGGAAGTTCGGCAGTTATCTCGAGTCGCTCATCCTAATATTGTTAAATTGTATGGTGCATGCACCAAGAATCCAGTATGTCTAGTGATGGAATATGCAGAAGGTGGATCATTGTATAACGGTAATGTCTAGGAAGAAATCGTTTCTTCTAATTAAACGAACTGAATGATCCTATTAATTTTTTGTGTTTGTACGGACGACAGTATTACATTGCAATCCTCAACCACACTATACTACTGGTCATGCTATGAGTTGGACCCTTCAGTGTGCTCAAGGTGTCGCTTATCTTCACAATATGAAACCAAAACCACTGATACATAGGTAAGAAAGCATTAACAGCTTGTGATTGTCCTTTCGAGAAACTGAATCGAGCAATAAATTTTATAAACTTTATCCCACAGAGACCTAAAGCCACCTAATTTATTATTAGTTATGGGTGGACAGAGGCTTAAAATCTGTGACTTCGGTACAGCCTGTGACTTAAATACATATATGACTAATAATAAAGGCTCGGCCGCGTGGATGGCACCAGAAGTATTTGAAGGATCTAGGTATACAGAGAAGTGCGATGTATTTAGTTGGGGTATCATTTTGTGGGAGGTTTTAACACGCAAAAAACCCTTTGATGACCTTGGTGCTTCAGCCTATAGGATAATGTGGGCTGTTCATGTAGGACAGAGACCCCCTTTAATAGAAGGATGCCCGAGACCAATCGAAGATCTTATGACTAGGTAAGAAATATGCAAAACACAAAGTTGTTTGATAACGTATGACATTATATATCTATAAATCTAAGTTTATTATCCCGATAACAAAATGCTAGCAGTTTGCTGATAGATTGGCAGCAAATTTGATTAGATTCCTATTTGTAGATCCATAGCCATCTATATATGTATTGAATTCCTGTCGATAAAGTCTACTGACATGCTGTGCCAGCAAATTGGTGGCAGAAATCGAGCAAGATCTACATAAACAAATAATATGGCATCAGATTGGCAATAAATATCGAGTAAAAGTAGTACATCTTGCTCGGTTTCTAAACAAAACATGTCAGCAGGTTTTATTTCTGGCAGCAGTTTATAATTATATATCAGATATTGCACTCCGTGAAATTTGTTGACTTTCTGCCATTAAAAATAACTATTTTGCTCAAAATCTGTCTCTGCAAGCTTGGCTGTATGGGTATTTATATTCATGAGCAGATCTCTATTACTTATGGATGATATTTAAAAATCATGTAATTAAAAAAATATATATACGTACTTAATATATACAAAATTTATCTCTCTGGTGCTTATGTTTGCTATTTTTCTTGACAGATGTTGGCAGAAAGCACCTGAAGAAAGACCTTCTATGGACGAAGTAGTAAGGATAATGACTGAGCTATCAGAATTTTTCAGTCCCCATTTAGAACCTGTTGAATATTCCTTAAGTATGTATAACATATTTGATTCATGATTATTACATAAAACATTATTATGTAAAAATATACTGTATATGTATTTATTATAGGTAGTGAAGATGATGTAGATGATGTAGACGAAAACAAAACATCGAGGGAGGATACGCTTGATATAGTCAGTACATTAGATTTTCGAATGAACGGCTCCGTGGAAAACGGTACTATTCGTACAATTCCAAAGCCTGTAGGAAAAACTAATGAATGCTCGAATGAAGAGAATTCATCGCCTTTTGCATTACGTGCAAAAGTACCTCGTACCGCGCCGATCAGCGATGGATCGACAAAATTTTCACCGCGGCAAAATAATTTAGAATTTCAACGAATACCTGATGAGGTTCCAGTGTTGAATAACTTTCACGGGAATGTGGATAGCAATTTAGAACACGTTAAATCATCACAGAGTGCAACAGCATCGACGGCACACGATGACAAACTCACTGCGTTGCAAAGCAAAAACTGCAATTTCGCTCCATTGCATGTGGAGTGTGATCCGGTTAGTAATTCTCTTAGTGTGTATTTTGAATATCACTTTTATATTGTTTAATTATATATTTTCATTTTTTATACATCTTTTACATTTTATAACAATATTTCTTTTCGATTATTTTATATATTACTGTTTATATAATTAAATCTGTAATTATATATATATATATAAAAAATATATATATATATATGTTAAAAGTATATGAATTTCTCTCTCTCTCTCTCTCTCTCTCTCTCTCCTCTCTCTCTGTTAAAAGCAGTTTTATGTATAATAACGTTACCTTTAACATGTTATAGAACGCTTGGGATTTGCCGAGCTCTTCTGATACATCTTGGGAAATTCCAAATAACATGGCTGGATTAGACAAAGTGGTTCAAAAAACAAAGAAAAATAATCAAAGTGAGTATATTTTGAATTTGATGTACTTATATGTGCTTATATGAAGATATACTTTCTGCATAATACTGAGTTATTAATTAACACAGGATTATTTTATGAAAAAGTATATTAAATAGAAAAATTAGAATTTGTGCGATTAAACTCTAATTATCGTGCATTACGTTTTTACAAAAAAAAAAACTTTTATATGCTTTGAAGTATACTTGTACAAAGTACCTTTTTTTTTATTTGATTGATGTTATTTTTTTGTACGTGAAAATGTAATATTGATTTCGATTTACTCATAAGTAAACAGAAAGAGTTTTACGGGGCTTGTATGCGAATACGTAGTCACAAGTCTTTCTCCGAACAAGTGCCGAAAAAAGATCGCAGAGAGGCTGTGGCACCAAACTGGCTGTCTATACGAGACCTGTCTCTGTCGCATTGAAGGCACATTGCCAGGAAAATTAGCGCAAGAACTATCTGTTTAATGCCTTATGCGGCAATCAATGCATGAAATAAATTAATAATATGTATAATCACATTGCGTTATCTGTAAGTACAAAAATATGGATCAAGTTGGAAAATAGAGAAAACTTAAATTTATCTCAAGTGAAAGATCCAGATTTATGTATATATATTTGTAACACATGTCAACATTATATATTATAAATACATATATTTATATATAAATTCTAGAAATTGATCAACATATACGATGCACGTTAACAATGTTATAATACATATATATATAAGACACCATTGTATTTGTATTAATATCATAAGTTTGATTTACGATATGATTATCGATCAATGACAGAAAAGAAGATATACTTTTTATATTATTGATTACTATCATAATTTATCATATTATCTCATCTTTCGGCACAATTATGAAAAAGGTACAAAATTAATATGATTAATAGGTCAGATAACAAAAAAGTTTTAATGGACACAATACCTCAGGCGAGCTGACATGAGCACGCATTTTGAGCTTACAGAGTAGCGCTTTGTGGTACACGAAGTAGATTATTTTCGGCCTAGAATACTAAGCACTGACTCACCGGGCGCCTTCCACGATCGCGTCTTCGTCTCTCGTCTGCCTTGACTAACGCATATTGCTCATAATGTACTTCCACGTATGCGATTTGTCGTAGTTATTATCTCAATATGATAATTATTCCGTTTATGCGGTAGTCATCCAGATGTAATCGTATCGTTTAATATCATCTTTCTATAATTTTTTATCTTTCTCGATAATATATTTATATATAGATCTACATGTGACATATAAATTTTGTTAAGTAACTTTGCGCATGAAGCTTGTAAAAATTCACAAATATATACTACTGTCTATGTATAAAAGAGAAAAGTATTTCCTCATGTATAGGATTATATATTTTTATATAGCGACAACTGTATAAATAATTTAATTACGGTCAATTTCGAGAGATGCGACTAGAAAGCGGAGAAGGGACGAGTTATAAGCTCAGCATGCTATATTCATCGAGGGTTCGTCGATCGGCGGAGTTCGCCGGTGGTATACCCTGGCAAAGGGCCCGTATAGCCGCAATAGCATTCGCGATGTGCGCGTGCACTAAATTTAACTGACGACTAATCGGTAGGACGTGTGACTCGCTTTTGATTGGCACGTTACGACGACGAAGAAGAGGACGACCATCGCGCCAGCAGAAATGGAAATGTGAGGAGGAGAGACGTTTGTGGAAATAGCGGAAGAAACGTTGAGAAGAAAGAAGAAGAAACTAAGGCATTATGCGCAAAAAAGAAAAGGATGAGAGAGGAGGAAGATGATAAAGAGATGATGGCAAGACGAATAAAAAATGAGATTCTCTCGAGGATGAATCAAGCCACGAAGCGCGTTTTGTTCTTGGCTCGCATATACGCTCCGCGACGTTCCTCGACGTCGAAGCCAGGGTGGGGAGTATTTAGAAGCAGGTGTGGCTGAGTCAGCATCCCCAATATAGACGTACGTTTGTTTAGTAGAGAGCCGACTCCCTACGGAGGAGCACCTCCCGCCGATCGCAGGTCGCCAAGCGCGCAATACGAGCTCGATTTTATCGAGGACACATCGATCGATCCGACCGGGAATTGATATACTTTTTTAACACGGCCATTCCCGGATCATTCCATTAATTAAGCCGTCAGCGTTACCACAATAATTATGAGAATTCAGCTGTCCCAGTGAGATTCTTGATATTTCCACTGCGATTCTCTATCACGTTGTTTTCGAAACTGCTGCCTTTTACATCCTAAGATGGAGACCCGAATCTGATTCCGAGGAACCGAACGAAGGAATTATGCCAATCGGCCGCATTGTCAGAGGATAATCGTGGACGTTAACATCGTCGAGATAACTGGCTCGCGTGAGAGCAGCGGCTGCTAGATGATCGACATGTGCGACGACTATCCGGAGATCGTTAGCACCGACACTCTCAAACGCTGCTGGGTCCTACTGCGTTAGTACATATTCATCGAAGATACGCAGAATAGAAGTATTTAGAATTAAGAGGAATTATGTTTTTGGACAACTAGCAAGATTGAAAGCGCGTGGTAGTTTGATAAACTAATTCGACATGATAATCTTCACGAATTGTTTGCCAGTGCAAACATATAATCTTGTAATATTCTGAAGATACGCTCAAGTCTATACTTGTACATTTAAGACTATATTCTTAATAATGCGTATTTCATTGCAGCCGGATATGACGAATTTCGTGATTCAACATCCGTGATAAAATCTTGGAATGCCGTAGGTAGCAGCACTACGACCGAAGACTTTTGTCGCCTACTTGATGCCGACCTGAGGCCTCTCACGCCCGACGACACGTGCAAACTCTCGCGAGAGATCTTCGAGGAGCACAAGCAGATAGCCGAAGAATACCTCAAAGTCCAAACGGAGATAGCGTTGTTAAGCCAGCATAAGAACGAGATGTTGAAGAATTTGAGCCTCGATAGTCTCCGACAGCAGCAGGAGTTACGGAAACTGGAAGATGAAAAGGTTTCTCTTTTTTATATTGCTCTTTGTATGAATTCTACATTCGCTTGCACCGTTGGATCCAGTGGATTAGTTCTTATTACATGATAATCTAACTCTTAAAAAAAATCCTTAAGTTTAAGAAGTCTTCAACTTCGATGATTATCGCGATTAACGCGATGACTTTCAGGAGTCCCTGGTGAAATTGTGTCGCAACCTGACGCGACAATTGCAGATCATGAAGGATCAAAGGGGGGCGTTAACGAGTGCCACTGTCGCGCCGACGATAGGGCCCGCTGTTTCCGGAAACAACGGTTGGGTGGTGGTACCTCACCGTCAAGACCCGTCGAGGCTTTCTTGAGATGCTGCGACATGACTATTCGAAGGTCTCGATGAAAAGTGTACTTACACTGTGTTGCACAATTCCGACGTTGGATGATGTGCAACGCAGATGGAATCATGTTAAGATTCCAATCCAATTTTGTATGAATGAAATTCAGCACCACGTCGCTTACTACTGATAAAGTATGTGAGGATATGTGAGTCAGAGTGATCAGTCATAACGGAAGATCGTTTCCGATTTTATCGAAACTTGCTGTCTACAATGCACGGTAACCGTACAATTGATTTCCGATTTTTGGACATAAAAAGCGCGAATTTTAGGTATGCACTTAATACAGATACGCCTTCTGTTAGGTTCTTTTTATTCACAGTCATATCTGTGCGTTCTCGTTTGCGGTGTGAGTTTAATTAATACAATAGAGTGAAATATCCCAAGCACATGCAAGTGCTACCATTGAGATATGAATACCATTGAGAATGTTATAGAAGATTTTTTCGATTGCAAAGCCTCGAAGGCATTATTAACAATGAATTGCAATCTAGTCCTTTCGATTCATATTTTATCGAATCACTCATTTGCCTTTTGACATATAAAATGTACATTGTGTGAGATAAAATACGCAGCTTTTATTATTTAAACTATTATGTTTTCAATGGAATTTCTCTATGTTTAATGTAATCGCAGAAAAAGGAGGTATTTTGAACAAGACGAATCGAACAATAACAAAATATTTATCGACTAACGCGAATCATTCTTTAAATTACATTTAGATTTTTTTATATGTTATAAGCTATATGTATACAAGGTTCTAAACCTATCTTGATATTCGTTAGTGACTTCTCAGATCATTTGGTGATGAAAATCCTTGTATCAAAATGTCAAGGCTGTAATAGTTTTTAAAATAAGAAACGTTTAAATATTAATTAATATCCTCAAGTGTGACACATTGTATAAGACTAAAGGTGTGTTTTCGAGCATTCTCGAAATTGATACAACTCTGTTTATCTTCATTACTGCATAATATATACTGTTAATCATGTGTCCAAAATACAGTCCACATCTTTGTCACTTTTATCCATTTACGCTGCAAGAAATTAAATATATTTTTCTAATTTCTCGCTTTGCTAATGTGTGACTGTTTATGTAAATAAGAATTTTATGCCTCGCCTGTGAGTTTGATTTCTCTGCAACGACAAGTCTAACAAAATAAAAACAATATTTAAGTGAGTGCATTATTAATCACATATATAGAAGCATAATGATATTTTTATTTGTTTTTAACGTTATAGGGTGCGGTCCATTTGGCGCTACAAATGCTTCGAAGTTTTTGATTGATCAATCAGAAGAAAGAATTTTACTAATTGACCAATAAAAAAATGCTTCGAAACATTTGTAGCATCAAGTGGACCATAGCCATAAATGCAAGGTATTAATAACCGGAATAAATTCGCGTGAAATGTGTCGAAAAAATTTTAAACAGAATTCAGGCATGAAGCACTCATCAAAATTAAGATAGATACAAAAAGATGCTCGTATGTCGATAACGGTTACAGTGGACTATCTTTTCGTATAAAATAATACTGGAAATGTGTGTGATAGAAAAGTTGTTAATGATTGGCAGCGGCTAAAGCTTGTAACTAACATTCTCGTTTCTGTTCCTATATTAAAATTGTGTATAAAATGTAACTAAGAGCTTGAAACTATCCTCGACAGCGGTCTCGGTAACGAACAGTCAAATAATTATACTCTGCGACAGGTCCTCTCCTGAGAATCTATAATGTGAAATTGTTGTTCAAATATGTAAAAATGTAATATAGAATTGTAAATATATCTGAAAGCTGCCGTGAAATTTACTGGCGTGTTCAAGATCTTTGATTATATGTTACCCGCACGGAGAGCTAGCGCTAGTAAACTGTTCATTTTTACCAACGTAAATTAATTTTAATCTCGGTTTAATTTACTCTTTATTTTTTTCTAATTCTTAGAACTAGAAAAAGATAAGTAAATTAAATTAAGATTAAGTTAATTTACATTGCAGGTAGAAATTTAGCGAGCATTAGAGAAAATCTCGTACACGGAGAGAATTTTTTCTTTTAAAATTTACCCTGAAAATATAATAGTTGTACAATATAATATTATAAATTGTATACTTTATTGTAGTTTTATTAATGACTGAGAGAGATTTACATTAAAATTCTTCGAAATACAATGTTGTTCCACGACTGTCATATTTTCAAGATAAATTCTAAGAAAAAATTCTGTTTGACGTGTATGCTGTTGATAGGTAATTTACAAGATTGATGAAAAGTTAATAGACTGATAAAGTTATTTATATATTGAAAACTATAAAATCCAATTCTTATAACGCATCAGACCTGTTTTTCTGCAAATAGCGAGATATCAGTTTATATTAAACCCGTGCATATCGTAACGATCTGATGCGGAGGTTCGTGCGCGTGCGGCTTACGTATTTCATAAAAAAATAAAACGCAGGATGAGTCCTGCACGCGAAATGTAGTTCCGGTGAAACTAGAATCATCGACGGGGAAGATATATACGTCGCGGAATCAATAAATCCAGCTGCCAGTCGTTCCCGCGCTTCGATACTCGACGAAGGGAAAGCACGAGAGATAGAAAAGAAATAGGACGCGACCGGTTAACCGGGGGAGAAAGCTGGGAGGCTGCGAGGGTGGGACAAGATAGATGAATGAAGGGGGCGGAAGGGAGGATACGAGGGGTGCGCATACGTGGGTATACATGTTGCTAGACGAAGAGGATGCGAGCCTGGCGATCCTCGGTTTACCGAGAACAGGAGAGAGAAAGGATAAAATATGGGGAGGATGATGGGGTGTGATTGAGGCTCGCGGTGGAGACGGAGGGAGAAATTGGCGAAAATATGTGTACGCGCGTGCGTGAGTAGAGGGATAGAATAAGGGAAGCGGATCGAGTGTACAAGAGAGGGAGAACGGATAACCAGAGGGGAAAGACGAGAAGCTGAAGAAGGGACAGAAGACAGGCCGGAACTTCAGACGTCTACGGACCTGCCCGCGAACCTCGTTCCCTCCCTTTAAGTTTCGCACTAGTTTTTTTCGCGCTATCATTTCTCCCGTTAAAGTTAGGCCGCCCTCACCGCAAAAGGATCCTGATCACAAGATCAGGATGGTCCACGCCGCGTCCGATGTCAACGAGAAGAGCTACATCCTGGATGCGAGAGAGAATTTTGAGGATGTGAGTAAGCCGTCTCTATCTTATTCTGTTCAACAAAGGACATGGTCTTCCGCGTCGACCGAACACGTCCCCATTTCGCTCTTCCGGAACGAATAAAATCGTTGCCGGCGAAACGATATGCAGATCATTAAACCGCGCTACAACGAGTCTCGCATCTCTCTTTCGTGTATGTTCTCTCTTCCCGACGTCTTTTTTATTTCTTACGTTTTATCGAAATTTATTACGCGAATAAAATAGAGTAAAAATTATTTGATATTCTGGAATATACCGACGGAATTTAATTTAACTGGAAAGTACGAAAGTTATGATATTTTTATTCACAGATGTTACATTTTACAAAAGGATTATTCGAAACATTTTGCAATTTAAAACGTCCAAAAGCTCCTATAAACTGAAAGAGAAGTCTTACATCTTGAATTACTTTTACACAAATTTAAACTTTTTGTAATAAAAATACAATATTGATATAGACGTAATATTTTTTTAGATATAATTAAATTGATCTAACAAAATTGATTGCAGCATAAGTTTTTTGATTGATTGTACTCTAAGCTTCTATATATATGTTTGTAGCACAATGTAAAATATCTGCATAACATTTCGTAATATATAAAATATATTATTATTTCTGCTAATCCAAGCAAAAATAATTAATTGTCATAGCGGATTCGATTGGACATAAACGATGAAATCCTCGATTTTAATGTACTATTAAGTAAAATATGTATTTAATAATTTGAAATATTTGCATTTTACTTTTACGCTTAGGTTAAATCGATATACAACGGATTTAATATACACTAATGCGTTTAACCAAATTCCCTATCAGTTTTCATCAGCAACATATGCTGCAAAGTAAAATATGTTCTTTATGTTTCTTGTTTGTCATATGATGTTTTTTCCTCGTACTAGAGGAAATTTTATTCAGAAAATAAATGTATCTCTCGGGATCTTCTAGTCCCAGTCGACATCAACTAAAAGTAACATAACATCCGTGTTATAACTTCGCATTCAACAATGTAACTGTTGTGTAACACCATGTGTTTTATTCAAAGTTGAGAGGTAACGCGTTATTTGTAACGTTGTTATCGTTTTCATTACTCTTATCGGTAACGATAGTTTCTTTTTCCTTTGTAACGACAACAGAGATTCAGCCATTATTTTACTGTTATTTTAATCCTTTATTATTTTTAATTACTCAATAGATCGTACTATTTTTTTTAAATGACTAAAATATTTTCCGATAGAAATTTAGATATTGAAAAATGTTTTGTACTTTATATCTTAGGCCGGATTCCGATATTCACTGCCAATATGTGGCATACATATATATGTATGAATTATAAATTTTCAGTATTGGTAGTGAATATTAGAATGAACTCTTAATAACGATTAATGTTCACAAACAGTGTTTAATAAAATCTGCGTTTGTAAATTACAATCTAATACCTCATAAAAATAAAGCATTTGTTAAAAAATAAAAATATTAATACAAAGAAATATATATATCTCGAAGATTTATTAGATATAAATTTAATACAAAGAAAAGCATAAGAATAGCTTAGAATTTTAAGCTTTAAAATTGATTTTCACAAATTAATATTGATTATTAAATAATGTAATTTCTAAATTTAATATCTTACTTTAACATTATAAAAAAGAAAAAAATTACTTTCTATAAAAAGTAACGGTACCGCGTTGGTTTTATGTAAATTGTGCTCGTTTCTACCAATGTAACTTAATTTTAATCTTGGTTCAACTTCTTCATCTATTTTTAATTCTAATAAGAGGCTTCAAAATGTCCCTCGCCGATTTAAATGAAATTTAACTGGATTATAGAGTATGTTCTCTTGAATACAAATCACCTTCCATTTGGGTGTAGACAGTCTACCATTTCCGAGATATTTCAATATTAAATTTGATAACGACATTTTCTTTAATTTATGACAGCATTCATACTCAAGTATTAATTTGTAGCATAGAGGATATGGTAACAGCCTCTTAACTTACAGACTCGAGTTCAAGCCACACTAGCAATTAATTAATAATTATAAATATTCGAGCATAAACATACTAATGAATCGTAAAGGGAATGCCATTATCAAATTTAATATTGAAATATTTTAGAAATGATAGTAGACCGTCTACGGCCAAATGGAGGACGATTTATATTCAAGGGAATACACTTTTAATCTTGTCAAGTTTCATTAAAATCAGTGAGGATTACTTCAAAATCTCCTCTTGTAAGAATTAGAAAAAGATGAAGAGTAGGTTAAATCTAGGATAAAGTTAATAGAAATGGACATTAGTAACGTTTCCAACCCTGAACTTATATTACATTTATGTTGAGTGCGAAATTATAGCACAGATGATATGTTACTTTTAATTGGTCTCAATTGAGAAGTAGATAGTCGCTGCACAACTATCGAGCAACCCCGTCGTGTGATTTGCAAAATAATTTTGCAAACGATGCATCGGAGAATCGCGAGTATCCTCTCGGTTTTGCTACGTAAAAAGTTTACGAGAAAGTTACTACAACGCCACTTTCGCTACCTCGTTAATTCTATCTGCTCTTAATCCGCACGGTTTTTAAGCGCAGGAAAGTCGTAATCTTCATTCCGTTTCGCGCGATTTTCTCTCGATTCTCTCCTACTTGTAATCGCGCGAATAGAAACGCGCAATTACGGCTTTTCTTACGAACGGTTCTGATATCTTCGAGATTGGAAGTTTCCGTCATCTTGAAAAGAAGAGAGAAGGGGGGGGGGGAGGAAGAGAGGGAGAGTTCCTTAACAATTCCATCCTCGATGAGAAATTTCTGCGATGACATTTCGCCCGATACGCTCGTTTCAATCAATGTCTCCATGATTTCTCCTGCGCTGATTTTTTCTTTCGCAAAGAGCTGTTATATCCGTCTGGAACTACTGTCAATAAAGAGTATTCGTATGGGTGCACGAACATCCGCGAATGAGGGAAAATGCGAGCGACAAGAGGGATGAGAGAAGAGCGTTACCCTTTTGGGCTTTCTTTCGATATACGAGCGAAAAAGGAATCGGATACGTTTTGAAAACCGACACACGATTGTCGCTATGATTGACTAATGCATTGTTTCAAAATTCAACAGGCCGGCAGCATCGCATCGGAAGAATCCTATGATGACATGAGACGATTAGTTAGGGTAAGAACTCTGTATATCTACAAATCTATATGGAAAGAATGGTTTTGCTGAAATATCTGATCTAAAATTTAACTAGATGGGGATTTTGAATCAAATTTTTTTCTTGACAATGTAAGCTGAAGTAATAAATTTATTTCATTCTAGTTAGATACAAATCTGAAAATAATTTTGTTAGACAGTCAAAATAATTATGTAGGACGTTCAAGCATAATGAGCAATGCTGCAAAAAGTTTTGACATTCTAGCAACCAGCTTTGAGCGTCTTACTTAATTATTTTGATAGTTCAACAAAATTATTTTCGGATTTGTATTTAACTAAATTTTTAGATACTTTAGTAAAATTGTTCTTTCCATAAGATACAATGTAGAACACTTAATCGTTGATGACAATGTTGCAAAAAGTTTGAACATTTTAGCAACTCATTTAAATGTTGTACATAATTACTTTAATAGTCTAAACAACAATTATTTTCATTTTGTTAGCTAAATTTTTAGATAACAAAATCTAGCAAAATCTTTCTTTCTTTTTGCGTTCTATTAACTATAGAAATTAACTATTTCGCTTTCTTTCACCCGTTTTATCTCCCTCTTATTGGAACGACGAGCGAAGTAATCGCTACGGACGCAGCGATTCATTACGTTCTAATTTGCGAATCTACACGATTAGATTCCCATGAACAACAAAGCGGATTAATTGACATGCAGCAGAAATTTCCCAAGTAGCTTCGCTGATATTGGCCTATCGATTGGTCCCGCGTAATGTTGTTCCGGCAGGACGATGCACTCTTTCAATGCTCAATTCGTCAATTTGTCACGGCCGTTGGCCTTCGACCTGACGTATGAACATGCGCTATCATTCCCGCTTGCAAGAAACGCTTTTTTATTACGACGCCCCTCTACTTCGCTTTCGATATCGCTCCAAATTATTCCGTTGACTGTGATCGTGTAAATCGTTTAACTCCTACTTGCCAACTAATTTACCATCAATGTACTTTTATTATGCTCCTCTCTGGGAATGACATTTCCATTCCCTCGTGCCGTTAATATTCATCAGCATGAAAATGTGCTCATAGAATATTCGCAGGTACGAGTCTGAATACACAATGTGACGTTTAATTAATGTAATTATGAAACTCTGAATGCGTTGATGTTCTTTTCTAGAGCTTATAAATACAAACAAAAGCATTCGTTCTAATGTCAACGCATATTGTAGGATGAAGAAGTAGAAAAGTCCAGCAAATTTAGCAGCCTGCCGCTTGCGAGTTTCAATTTCATCAATTCCATCATCGGCAGCGGAGTTATCGGTAAATGTAAAAAAATGATAGTTTTGAGACCGCGTGTTTTCTGAAAGATCGTAAAAAAATAAAAGAAATCCATTTGATATTCGGTGAAGCCGCACCCTTAAAGTATGTCGGCTAAATTAATATAAATTTTTCAGGAATACCGTACGCTCTGCATCAAGCCGGCTTCGGTCTCGGCATCGCCCTGTTAATTTTAGTAGCGGCGTTGACCGACTATTCGTTAATTCTCATGGTGCGAAGCGGGCGTATTTGCGGCGAGATGAGCTACCAGGGTCTGATGCGAGCGAGTTTCGGTCGTGCCGGTTTCTACATTCTTACGATATTACAGTTACTGTATCCGTTCATAGGTATGTACCCTACACAACTCATACACTGAAAAAAAAAATTAGCTAAATCTGAGTAAATATTTCTTTGAATAGTTGCAAGTAAACATTTATTTTCCTAGTCAACAATGTAATTGTTATGTGCAACATGTGTTATTTACGATATTATATTACATTTATACCGTTCAGTGAGAAATTATATAATATTGAGGTAATGTTAGTGGCAATTTGTATTAGAACGTTATAAGTACTTAAAAGAATACTATCCCATAGAACTTAATAAATGATAAATAAATAATGTAATGATATTTATCTATCTGCATCGACTTTTGTATTGATCACAACTCAAAGACATAATTTTCGAATAATTACCATGAATGAGTTAAATAAATATTATTCAATCAATTATAAAAATTAATTAATTTAACTTTATAGAAAGATCGCCACAACTCAAAAAAGGTAGTTTTAAAAAAAAATAGTAAAAATTGTCATAGCGTATTCTTTTCGTCGATTATTTGATCAATCATTTCCTATCAAGTTGAAAAATAGTTTTCTCCTTTTTTCTAAAATTATTTGTCACATTCAAAGTAGGGAAATTATATATCAACTTTTAACCAACGCGCAATTATGAAATAATTTTATTAACGTTACAGCAATGGTTTCATACAATGTCGTCGTCGGTGATACAGTGACCAAGGTTCTAATAAGAGTGACAGGGATGGACGAGACGAACATTCTCGCTCATCGACAAGTCGTCATCCTCCTGGCAACCTTATGCATCACCGTCCCGCTTTGTCTGTACAGAAACGTCGCGCGATTAGCAAAAATCTCCTTCCTCTCTCTAGTCTGCGTTGGATTCATTCTCCTCGCCATCGCCATCCGGATGGGCACAATGTCTGCCTTGGTGTAAGTGAGAAGTACAGACTTTCGCCTGTAGTTCATTAATACCTCCTGTAAAATCTCTATATGTAATCATAGATGTCGATTGATTACAGTCCGAGTCAGAAGGACAGCTGGAGATTCGCCAATTTCCCGGGGATCGTTCCGTCCATCGGTATAATGGCGTTCGCCTTCATGTGCCATCACAATACCTTCCTGATTTACAGCTCAATTGAAAGAGCGACCCAAGAGAAGTGGGATATCGTGACACATTGGTCCCTCTTTACATCTTTCCTGATCGCCGCGGCTTTCGGAGTCGCCGGTTACGCGACTTTCACGTCATATGTTCAGGGCGATCTCATGGAGAATTATTGCTGGGACGACGATCTGATGAATTTCGCCAGGGTGTTATTTAGCGGCACCATACTGCTTACCTTCCCTATCGAATGCTTCGTTACGCGCGAGGTAATGTCTCTAATGCTCGTCTTCTCCTTGTACAATCTGACCCCAATTTAATACTAAAAAGATAGTAATTAATTACTTATTTTGAGTTTTACAACAGTACTTTTAATACTAAAAATAAATAATTAATTACTACTTTCTAGTATGAAATCCGACATTAATCATAAGGAAAATTGGATCCCGGTGAAATGAGTTAGTTTCGCATAATGTAACTTACAATATAGTAAACAAAATATGCAATAGACATAAGGCTCAATAATGAATATCAAAGGTGCTCTGTGAGTATAAGGTTGACATCTATCAACATTGATTTGTATTCACACAAAAAAAATCTTATTGATACTTGAACTACTCATGTAATTAATATAGGGTTCTTTTTATAAGGGTAATCTCTGTAAGTCGTACTCTTGTAAACTCTTGTAAATTGGAGCATTTGCAAGAATTATTATGATCGCGATTTATTATCGATCCAGGTACTCATGACAGCAATCAAAGGCACAGACGAATTGGAAGGACACGAGGCTTACATACCTAATTCGGACCGCGAGTACCTGATAATCACCTTGACGATAATATGCATGGCATACCTGATCTCCATGTTGACGGATTGCCTCGGCATCGTTCTCGAGTTGAACGGAATCCTCGCCGCGGTGCCGCTAGCTTACATTCTACCGGGTCTCTGTTATCTCAAACTTGAGGAGGGGCCGATCCTCTCGTCCAAGAAGCTTCCGGCGCTCGGGCTGATGACCGCCGGTATTATGGCTGCACTATCTGGCCTTTTACTGATTATAACCAACACTTGCTCTGGTACCTGCTTTCACGGCAAGGTAATGCCGTATTGCGTCGGCAATTCGACGACGACGCTACCTCTTAACGCGACCACAATGTCCACCGACGACTTCGTTCTCACGGAATGCGGGATCTAAAATTAACGGACGAGTACAGTAAACCTTTAATTGTTAGTCTGCCAAATTGCCGAATAAAAGTATAATATGATTATAAATGTCACAGGATAAATAACGCAGGCATCGTTTAAATTGTCAGATGGATAAAATAAGATGACACCACGTACACAGATGATACTATGTATATGCATGATAATGCCAAATCGAAAAATTGAGACTTGATATTGGCTCATCAATATCCCACATTTTGATGCGATAAATTCGAATACATAATTTCGAAAATCTTGAAACGTGAAATTTTATATGTCACCAACTTGCGAGAAAAAAAGTTTAAAGGTTTTACAAGATTAAATAAAGCAGGATTTTATCTAGGAAAAAAATATATCATTGAAAAAATTATAATATCGTCATTGCACGGAAAATAAAATTGCGCAAATCAGGTTTAAAGAGAATAGCGACACTATTGGGTTTATAGAAAATAGACGTTATATTGTAACGTCTTAAATAGCTAAATCTCACGTTATGGAAACAATTTATGCTCCAAAATAGACTTTAGTATTAAATATGTGAGACGTAAATTTATAGAAAAAAGGAGTGTTATTGTTTACGTTAATAATCGGGAATATTTATATACGTTAGATAGTACGATTGTACCTTTCACGATTCTATTCCATGATATCGCGATGTGATTGCGAAATCATGTCTCGAACGCATGATTATCACAATATAAAATCAATGCAATATGGAATTTAGCTTACGAGCGAGAAATCCAAAAAAAATTGGCAATAGATATTATATGTAATCTCTTTATGCTCCGTTTAGTAAAATACATAGATTTATGAATGTTTATTGCACGCAAATTTACCGAGTTACACACAGAGTAAAATTATAATCTTTCAAGTTAATCGTGTGCACAATGAGCTTGAAATTCGCGACTGAAGACGATTAATTAATTCTCCGCGACGCACATTATTATAGAAACAGAATTTTAATGTACCAATCGAAATAATTATTGAATTTCCGATACTATATATATGAATAAAAGGGACTCATATATTTGGTCCTGATAAAGTTCCAGAGGTAAAGTTCTAACGAGAAAAAAGATCTCTGTGGTTATAAAAAATGCGCGAATTTTAAAAATTATATAATTAAAAAAAATAGTTATCGCGATTATAGAGAAAATTATGACTAGATAACTAACGTATAGAATACGTAAGTTAAAATTTCATTATATTTTTAAAAAGATGTTGAACAGAGACAAATGATTTATAAATGAGAAGATACATACATATATATGTACACACATACATATATATCTATATATACATATATCTATTATATACACTATACATACACAAATATGGACACTATGTTTGTATATTTTTCGTGATAAGGGATTAATATCTATTGAATGTTGAAAGTAAGAAATATACAAACAAATCTTTGCATTTATAAGTGACAATGATTCGATAATTAGCGGCTTAAAATTTGTATTTGCAATTCGTTTTATCTTATTTTATCTAAATTCTTAACATGCTTGCGTTTTATTTATTTTTTTTTTAGAAAGAAAATTCACTATTATTTATTTAATCTTTTACGAGAAAAATTCGTGAAATTGCATTTAAAAAAGTATTTTTTCGTATACGTTTATAAGCTTTTTTTTTATTAAATTTAAATATTGTTTCAATATTAAAATAAATAATATATAGTATAGCCTAAAATAGCCGAATAACGATCACGAAAATTGCAGGACATATTGAAATCATCGATCAGATTTCGTGTCCTCTTTTGCAAAATTTAGTTGCTCGGAGATATTGGCTTTGAGGAATTACATTGTATTTTTATAGTTCAAAAGACAAGAAAGAAAAGGGGAGTCAAAGTGTCTGTAATACAATCAAAATATTATATAAAGCCACAATGGAAAATGGCACAATCACACGGAGCGAAAGTAAATTTCTCCTTCCGCAAATGACGCTTTACAGAAAACAAACACTGATGACAAAAAGACCACATATACAAGAGGAAAGTATTTATCGCGCATGATTCGCGTATAGCATGTAAGGCAAAAGAATCAAATGTTTACCTGTTTACGTAGGGTAAGGTTGCCGATATCGCACCGGCTCCTAGATCGCACTACCTCGCCTAAAAAATCAGTTATTTTATTCACACACTTTCTTA